CTGGAAGGCCAGGCACCGTAGTTTTCAGGTAGGACAGCGAGTTATGGTACTTAAACCAGTCCGACGGGACAAACTACAGGCTGCCTGTCAGGGACCCTACAAAATTATTCATCATCACAGTAGCCAGCTGTGATGATGAGAATGTAAAGTGCACATTCCACATCAACATGCTGAAGGAATACAAGGGTCGAAAAGAGGAGGCGGCGGCCGTGTGTGCGCCACCATCCAAGGATCCAGACACCCTACCCCTGCTGGATCTATTGGAGGGCGACCAGAGGGTACGGGCTATAGAGTTGGTACAGTTGGGGGAATGGCTGGGGCCACAGGAACAGGCCCAGGCGATCACCCTTCTGGAAGCCAAACAGGCTATGTTCTCTCGGGTGCCCAGGTACACGAGATTGGCCATCCACAGGGTGGAGACCCCAGGCCAGGCTCCCTTGCGGCAGCCCCCCTACTGCATCCCTGAGGCAGTCTGGGAAGGGATGCGGAGGGAAATAAATGAAATGCTACGCTTAGGGGTCATTGAACATTCCGAAAGTCCTTGGGCTTTACCGGTAGTGCTAGTGCCGAAGCAGGATGGCACGACCCGCTTCTGCATAGACTACCCACGACTCAACGATAAGACTGTCACAGACGCCTACCCGATGCCCCGGGTAGATGAACTGTTGGACCAGATGGCTACGGGGAAATATCTGACAACAATAGACTTCTGTAAGGGCTACTGGCAAATTCCCCTATCCAAGGACGCCATTCCAAAATCGGCCTTCATCACCCCGTTCGGCTTATACCAGTTCCGAGTTATGCCGTTCTGAATGAAAAATGACCCAGCCACTTTCCAACGGATGGTAGATCGCCTCCTAAATGGTCTCCAGGATTATGAGTGCGCATACCTGGATGACATAGCGATTTTTAGTGAAACAAGGGAGGCCCACTTAGAACATGTAGGGATGGTACTAGATAGAATCCGGGCAGCCGGCTTGACCTTGAAGCCTGACAAGTGTCACATTGGTATGGCGGAGGTGCAGTACTTGGGCCATCGGGTAGGATGCGGAAAACAACGGCCGGAGCCCGCTAAGATTGAGGCTGTTGCCAACTGGCCCACCCCTGTACCAAGACACAAGTTATGGCTTTCTTAGGGACAGCCGGCTACTACAGACGCTTTGTCCCTGACTATAGCGCCCTGGCCAAACCCCTGACGGACTTGACTAAAAAGAACCTACCCTGACAGGTCCTGTGGTCCCAGGAGTGCGAGGCAGCCTTTTAATCATTGAAGCAAGCTCTTATAAATTCCCTGTTCCCTGTTCTGCCCCTGATCCTAACAAAAATTTAATTGTACACACAGATGCTTCAATGTTTGCACTGGGGGCAGTCTTAAGCCAGGTCGGAGAAGACGGAGGGGAGCACCCTGTAGCCTATTTGAGCCGAAAATTGTTGCCCAGGGAGGTCAGCTATGCGGCCATTGAAAAAGAATGCCTAGCTTTAGTGTGGGCATTGAAGAAACTAACATCCTACTTATTTGGCCGGCTGTTCACCCTCATCATGGACCACAATCCTCTCGTTTGGCTCAATAGGGTTGCAGGGGATAATGCCCGACTTCTACGGTGGAGCCTCGCATTACAACCATATGACTTCACCATCCACTACCAACCTGGCAAAACGAATGGGAATGTGGATGGCCTATCGCGACAAACTGAATTAGCGGCCTAAATTTCGCAAGGATTACCCGTACAGCCCCAAGTCGACCCGAAAAGGGTCCAACTGTGTCTGCTGGAGCTGTCAGCAAGGGGGGAGCAGTGTGAAGAAAACCCCTGTTTTATGGACTTAGTTTGACTGTTTTGTCCCCCCCCCCCGCTTAGAACACCAGTTTAAACCCTTAATAACTGTCATATTTTCAAACTCTGACTGACCCTTTTAACTGCCATTTTGTTTTCCTCAGAGCAGGAGTGGTTTTACTGAATGAATAATGTTGTTTTGTGTGGCATTAAACAGATCTCTACCCAGCATTAAGCCTTGGCTCATGTGTGAGGGGTTATGCTATGCTTGTGTCTACACTCTGCCTGGAATGATTATTTACTAGCTACTGGGAGAAAGGGAACCCAAGACAGTCAGAGAGGGTTGGACCGTCACAGTGTAACACTGTTGTATAAGTGTAAAGGCGCTATATAGGATAACACTCACAAGAAAGATGAGAAAATATCGCCCAAGGGTGCCTCCCCTGATGTAGATGGGGGGTCAAAACCACTTCTCCTGTTTTCAAAGATGATAGTAGAATCAAAATTCTGCTTTATTTTAAAATAAGTATAAAAATAAAAGCATAAGCTCCTCGTGTACCAGGTCCTATGCGTTTCGTCCTATCAGGACTTCCTCAGGGACCTCCTGGTATTAAAAATTACAAATAGCGACAGCAATACAATCTCAATCAAAGAAAGCAGTATAATCCCTCCCCACTGAGTCTCTCCTTTTATATGCAGCATGTAACAGGACCTGTTGTCTGCTTGAAAAGGCAGAAGGTGTAACCAGGTTAATTAATAAAAGTGTCAATTTCTATTGAAATCTGCACTTTTTGTAAAATGAAATTTTTTTTTCACAAATAAAGCATTTCAGCAAACTAAAGTGCTTTAGGGGTCTGTAGTGTCCCTATAATATATATGAGGGAAAAAGAGAAATTACACAAAACTGCATAAGAAAAAAAAAACACTCTTAATTAATATTGTACTCAAGATATTGTAGAAATAAAGGCACATCTAAACTCTAAGGTTACACTCTAAGGTTGTCCTCCCGATCAGCACAAATCCTTTGGAACCACCATTATGCAAAAAACAGTGCACAACAGAATTAAAAACTAAAGTAGTATAAAGCACCAAAGTCTCTATCGCCCTATGTGTTTGGTCCATTCCTTGGACTTTGTCAGGGGCATTCACGTGTCCAATTAAAAGTTATTGCCTTATTTTATATTTAAAAGCTCAACAAGCACCTCCCTGAATTGACATAAGCCAATTAGGGTTGGTGCTCTAGAGTGTTCCGCCTGTAATCCATTTCCTGATGATTAGACTCCAAGCATTGATTGCGATCTTCAGTACTCATTAAGTTCTATTCTATTCTATTTTTATATTTTTATACTTTTACATTTTTAGATTCTCCTCTAAAGTTTTCAGATAAACTACAGTTGGCTGTCCTCCCGATCAGCGTGTGTATGTATCTAGAATGAAAATCTCCTCTTGGGAGAGTGTGTGTTACAAAAAAAGGAATTTGTGGTGAAATCTAAACAATAATGAATGGGGAATATCTTTTACTACTAATTACAGTAAAAAACAAGACCTAAATATATTTATTGAAGAAAACAAAATTAAAACCAGCACCCATTTCAAAACCGTAGATGTAAACAGCTTTATACATGTTTCAAGCTGTCACTACGCACCGCGATTAAAAAGTGGAAGCAGTGTGTTTTTGTGTAAGGGATACACACTGCTTCCACTGAATTCCCAGACAGTGATGTCACCAGAACATCACTCAAAGATCACAGAAACAGATCTAGAGTGGTGTGATGTTCTCTGTGATCTGAAATACAAAATGCAAAGCCATCGTGCTCTCAATTTAAAAATTAGATGGTTTATTGGTAATGAAATAAAATGCACTCACAAGGGTGAAGTGGAATAAAACAAATTCAGGGTCCTTGGGAATCCACAAGATCTGCAGGTTGCTGGTGGTTTGGTGGTAAAACACTCTGGCCAGCTGGGAGATCGTGGAGTGATGAATTCTCCTTCGCGTGCATTCCACTTCGTTTCCCCGACCTGCGTTCCACTGGGACCCGGTATCTGAGTTCTCGTGTGGCAGGAACTGATGAAGTGACTAAATGCAGTTTAGTCTGATTTATCTGGTCCCTCTATAATACATACCCTGTTGATTTAATCTTTAATTGTAAAACAGAGAGTTGTGGGTATTAAGACTATATGTGAAGAGAACACTTTAAAATTACCAGGCCTGATCAAATCTAATAATACCACATTCTCTCTTATATTTCTCACTTCCCTCAAAACATGTCTAATTTGGGGATTCAAGGTTAACTTTCCCACTGCCACAGTTTCTGAGGCATTTATATAAATACAATCCAGTTTTGCCTGCAGCCATTCTTTCATGTTTACTGCGTGAGGGTCTGCAGAAGCTCACTACTGCCTCTCTTCCCCTTGCTGTTGGTGACACTGCCATCTCATCCCTCCCACGCGCTGCTCTCTTATGAAGCTGTGAGGAAGTGATGGGCTGTCACTTCATCCCAGCCGGACGATATTACAGGAACCTGGTAGAGCTTTTTTTTTTTTTATTTGAATTCTTTATTTTGTTGTGCATCGTGTTACATATAACAAAATAACTCGCCGTGCCACAACAGCAGTAGCAAGCACATTAAATACACTTTATGACAGTTGTTGAGAAATCAGAACAATGCGTTATGAGAATAAACAGGCGAAATATGCTTAGGTATACTGCTATGACTTGAACAGGTTTGGTATGTATGTACGTTTATGCATCGTGGCACTCGAGAGTAACTTGCACTTTTTTTTATAATATGAAAAACAAGAAAAAAAACATAGTGCATATGGAACATAATAGAGGGATAGTTAAGAAGTAGGCAGTATTTATTAAGCACGTGGATTACAGCTAAAATATGAATAACTTAATCAATTTTTGGGTGAGTAAGATGGAAACTGGGTCTTCATGATGAGAGGGTAGTTATAGGCATAAGTCATACATTTTAAAGAAGTCATCTTGGCCTATTATAAGACAGTCTGAGATGGTTACAAAAGGAGAGGTTCCCCTGGGATTATCAGGATAGCCATATCTCTACACCGTATAAGGTAGGAATGCCTAGTACAATGCGTAAAAGAAAATAACAAATACAGAAAAGCATATTATACTTATGCGGTTAATCGGCACAAAAATAGAGCAAGATTGCGTCCACCGATAACATGGAGGACAGTCATCATAGAGTCTCCAACTTAGCCAACCCCCAGATTCGGGAAGCCCCAGGGGTTCACTGAGAGGCAGTTGATTTCTCTTCGCTCCTCCATGGGGAATCTCAGAGCTTGATGAGTGGCTTGTTTCCTGCGGGTAGTGATTCGGAAGTGCCACAGTTCTCCGTAGCTTCGGCTCCAGGCTTTGAGAGATGTCGTTGTGCCATATCTCTGAATCCATCGCTGCTGTTGATGCAGCCTCCCGGCTGAGTTTGCTTGCTGTTGTGAGGTTTATGCTGACGGACCGGTTAAACTTTGTTGAGGATGGAGTGGTGTATATCTCCATTGGCGCGGTGAGTCCCGGCCTCCATGTAGGTCTAAGTTGCGCAGGGTGAGCTCTTGCCAAGATGGCTTTCCTCACTGTTTTTCTGTCCCTGTAGGGGAATGCCGTATGCGTGTGGGCAAACGAGGATAGCTAGTTGGGTTTCTCCAGGTGACCTCTGCTTGGTCTGGAAGACCAGAGGTAAGTCTTTGTTGTGCAGCATTGCGCTTCGGTGCCTGGAGAGTCCGCCAGCAGGACATTTAGCAAGATGGACTCGCCTCCATGTGGGGCTGCAAACCAGCGCCGGATCGGTGAACTGCCGCTTCAGCCGCAATCTCCTTTGTGACAGGTAAATCAGGGCGAGTGGATCTGTGTTCCAAGCGTCTCCAGAATTCCTGGCATACGTGATGGAACCAGTTCTGGATCTCTGGGCTCTCTCAAGACTGCAGGGGTTGTTGTTTGATGGCCGTCTTGGGACCGGCAAGTGGTTTTCATTCAGGCTGTGTAATCTGTTGCTGTTGATATGTAGCTTTAGCGATAGCCTCCACCAGTCCAGGGGGGGGATGCGAGGCAGCTGGAGAGCCACCGCTTTGAGTGGTCCCCATGACGGGAGGTCTGCCGCCTCTCCCGGCCATGACGCCGCCATCCACGTTAGGCCGCATATTTGGAGTTTGGTAAATCTAGACAGAAGTACACAAAATAGGTATCCACGAGCCCCCACTCGATTCAGCAATGAGCTATTGGTGTGCAGGACTGCAATAATCACGATTGTGGCCAATAATAGCCAATATTTAGCTTGGTTTTGTCAGAGCTCTCTTCAAACACGTCTAGCTTGCTCAGCTATCAAGCCCCCGGTAGAGCTTTTAAAATCCTGTGGGTACTTTATCAAGGCCAATGGGGCTCTTATTTAGCGATACCCATCACGTGACCCTAAATGCATGGGTCACCCAAAGGGCCCCTCCAAATTCTTACAGACAGGGGGACAATGGTGTATCTGGGCCTGGGGCAGCCTTTAAATATGGTCATGCAAATGGGTGGAGCATGACTTTCATAAACTACAGAATTGATTCATCCTTACAAAATGATAGCGCCCCGGGGGTGGTGTGCCCTAGGCGACTGCTTAGCTCACTTAGCGGTCACACCAGCCCTGCACACAGAGTGGCTGGGGGGGACAAAGAGACACATAGATGGGCCGGTGGGGACAAAGACACACAAAGGTGCTGAGGGGAAAAAAAAGAGACCCACATGGGTGCTGGGAGGAAAGAAACATAAAGGGGCACATCAAAGGTCTGGGGGTAGAAAGAGACATACAAAGTTGGAAATTTTTGTTTTGAGTGGGGAGGCATGCAAGTAGCTGGTCATACTTAGAGTGCAAATAGTCTTGCACCAGCCCTGTGGAGGTTGGTTGATTGTAAAAAGCATGAAAAATACAAGAACAAATAAGAAGAAAAACTAAATTTAAAAGAAATAGTATACTATTAGAACCCTAGTGATTTGTTTTTAGTTCAGTGTATATTGATGGGCATGTAATATAATGTTTAAAGCTATTACAATTATGTTAAAATGCTCCTTAGAATATGCTTATGTTCTTCCTCTGACTATGTTTTTGAATTCTGCTTAGAACAGAGAATTACTGTATGATAAACATCTCCCAGAGGGCGATTAAATAGTCATGTTTCTTTCTATCAATACAATACATGCTTGAAGACTAAATTATAAATTTTTTCTTTTCCCTGAAGAGAAAATGGTTAAGTGAAACAAAACATTCTTTGTTTACTTACAGAATATGTATATAAATGTCTGCAGGCATCAGCTTTTTAGAACAATCTCTTATGATTTCAGTTCTTCCAACCATTAAATACCAAAAAGCTAAATAAGTCTGGTTTTGAGTTAAAGAATATAACACTATCAAATAATTTTACCACACAGGGATACATGCAGTTTTTATTTATTCTTAACCCCTTAACGCAGAGTAACGGACGAGGTCCGTCACTCAGGGGAGACCTTTAATGACGAGTGACGGACCTCGTCCGTCGCGCGGTAAAATTAACCCTGGATCTCCGCTATCGTGGCGATCGCAGGGGTTAATGGTGCTCCGGTCTGCCTCTGTATTAGAGGCAGACCGGGAGCACCCGGTCAGGCTGCCCAACATATGTGCTCTGTATACTTACCTTCCGCCTCCCTGCACTTCCTGGTTCTGTGTGAAGTGCAGGGAGCCGGAACAGTGCTGATCCTGCCCCCTGCTGGAAAAAAATAAAGTTAGTTTAAAGTCCCACCCCCCTTTACCCATTGTAATAAAAAATTAACCCCTTCCCGGCCAATTGATCACTGACTATGATCAGATTTTTTTTAAATTAATTAAATAAATTTAACCCCTGAGGGTTAAAAAAAAAAGAATTAACCCTCAGGGGTTAAATTTATTTAATTAATTAATTAAAATATTTTAAAATTATATATTTAGCTAGCTGGGGTGGGTGGAAGTTAGTGGGGAATTGGGGGATTTGGCGTTAGGCTAACTAGGGGTTAACGTTAAAAATAAACTTTAAAAAGTAAAAAATTAAGCTTAAATTTTTTTTTAATAACGTTTAAGTAAAAAATAAAAAACCCCACACCTCTTTACCCAGTCCAAATAAAAATTAACCCCTTCCCTGCCAGTCGATCACTGCCTACAGTGATCAAATACAGATCACAGTATTATACTGTGATCTTATTTTTTTTTAACCCTTGAGGATTAACTTTTATTTATTTATTTTGCTAGCTGGGGTGGGTGGGAGTTATGGGAAAATGGGGAATTTACTGTTAAAAAAAAAGCTTAGAAAAATGTTAAATCTGTAAAAAAGTTTTAAGAAAGTTTAGGAAAGTTTTAAAAAAAATTAATAAGCAAAACAAAAGTTTAAAAACTAGTTTTTAAAAGTAAAAAGTAAAAAGTAAACAAAAGTAAAAAAATACATTTTAAAAACGCTCATTACCACTACACCTGGAACAAACTAGAGAAAAAATTATCCCACGCCAAGGTTCAAAATATGCCTTTTGAATTACCCCAGGGTGTATTCTTTAATAAATAGTATGTGTTTGTGGGGAAGTTTCAATAACCAACCGTCTAAACTACTCCAAATTGGAACATGGACACAGCGTAAAACTTCAAAGTTAGAAAAAACTGAATGGCTGCGTCTCAAATGCGCCCCTTCAACATCCACATATACCTGGCAAAGGTACATACGGGGTTATTGCTGTACTCAGCCGACATAGCTGAGCAACATATGAAGTATTATACAGTCGTAGCACACATAAGGTTTGCAAAATATACTGCGCAAACTCACTTTGTATGTCAAAAAGGCAGAAAAAAATGCTTATTACCACTACACTTGGTACAAGCTAGCGGAAAAATGATCCCACGCTAAGGTTCAAAATATGCCTTTTGAAATACTCTGGGATGTCTTATTTAAGAAATGGTATGGCTTTATGCTTCCCTTTTCACCAGTTCTTGCATTCTGTTGCCTTCCCTCCAGTGAGTATCTATTTTATCAATGCCAAAGGCCGAAAAAGTGGCCCAATTAAAAGAAGTACAGGTGTTACAATGTTTAGGTACACTATGATCTAATTTTTTATTTCTTATATTGGTAAAATGTTCCCGAAATCTGATATGTAATTTTTGGGTAGTCCTTACTACATATTGGGCCCCACAGCCGCATTGTAGCAAATATATAGCATATGTGGAAGAACAATGTAGATATGTTTTATTAGTGTATGTACCTGTAAAACCTTTAATCTTTTTTTCCAAATAAGTGCATGTAGAACATGTTCTACATTTGTTGACTGTAAGAAATGTTCTTTTTTCTTTTTATTATATAAAAGACTGGGAGCGAGTTGTGTTTTTAAATTATCTGCTCTTCTACATATGACCAACGGTTTATCAGGAATAATTTTTCCTACAATTTCATCCTTTTTTAGAATTGCCCAATGTTTTTAAAAAATATTTCAATCTTTTTTGCATGGGTGTTATATTTTGTAGTAACAGCAAATTCAAAATTATGTTTAGAATTATTTTTATGTTTGTCCATCAGAAATTCAGACCGGTCTTTGTTTTTTATCTTTTGTATCTCTAAACCCATCTCTTGCTTATTAAATCCCTTCTCAGCATATCTATTCTTCATGATTTGAGATTGTTCCTCAAACATCTGTATATCGGAACAATTCCTTCTCTTACGGGTTATTTGTCCCTTCGGAATATTACTTAACCATAAGGGGCGATGAAGGCTATTATTTTTTATTGCAGTATTACAGTCAGTCTTTTTAAAAAAGTCTTATGTAAAGTTTTATGTAAGCCCTTCTCTATATATAGAGTTAGGTCCAGAAAATCTATTGATTCTTGGTGAATCATAGAAGTAAATTTTAAATTATAATCATTCTGATTGATTGCACTTATAAAATCCGTAAGACTTGCATGGTCACCCTCCCACATAATAAGCACATCATGTATGGAGCTTCGCCATAGGACGAGGCTCCCACTAAGGCAAGATCCCAATCCAATGTGTAAGGATTCCCAATGTGACAAATACAAGTTGGTAAAGTGTGGGGCGATCCTCGTCCCCATGGCGACACCACATAGTTGGAGGAAAAAAGAAGAATCAAACCTAAAGAAGTTCTTGGTTAAAACAAACTCAATACACAAAACCAAAAAATCTATCTGATCCATACATAACTGATTGTGATGTATTAATACATCTCTAATAACCTCCAGTCCCTTAATATGGGGTATATTGGGGTATAAGGCTAATACCGTGGCTAACAGATAAAATGACTTTCATGTAAAGGTCTGTAGGGTTTAGAGAATATGTTTCGTATCTTTGATATATGAGGGACAAAGGGAGATGTGCAGTTTTAAAAAAGAATCTATGTATATCTGAAAGATTACATGTCAATGAATCAATCCCACTAATGATAGGATGACCAGGGGCAAAAGTTAAACACTTGTGAATTTTAGGGAGATAATAATAAATGGCTGTTTAACAAGAGGGGACCCT